TGGAAAAACGATTCCGGAATGGATTTTTTATGATTTCAATAGCTTTGTATGGCGATTTCGGACTTAGGCGTATATCTGGATTTTGATTTGGAAGTCTGTAGGACAATTCGGCGCATTTTGGCAAAAAGTTGGAAAGTAGAAGTTTTGAAATATTCATAAATTTGACCGGAAGTTGACTTGGTTGATATCGAGCTCAGATTTCAATTCCAAAAATTGGAACATTTTCATTATGTCATTTATGACTTGTGTGCAATATTTGAAGCCATTGCGGATTGATTTGACACGCTTCGGCGCAAATTATAGAATTTTGGAAATTTGATTACTCATAATTTGATTCGAGGCATGATTCGTAGTTTTGGCATTGTTTGATGTGATTTGTTGCCTCGACTAAGTTTATATCATGTTTTGGGACTTGTTAGTATGCTTTGACAGGGTCCCGATGGGCTCGGTCATAGTTTGATTCATTATTGAGAGACTAGTAAAGTTAAAAAATTTGGAGTTTGACCATGGTCAATATCAGGTCAAGACGATCTCTTTTGAGTGCTTTGAGTGCGCGAGCAGGTTCGTAGCGTGTTTTATAGTTGAATTTCATATATAGTTTGTGTCCGGGAGGTTCCAGATGAGTTTCTGGGTGGTTTCGGATCATTTCGGATAAGTTTAGGTTTGCTGGTTTCGGGTGAGGCATTGTTCATTCGCAATTGCGAACACTGTTCATTCACAATTACGAACATTGTTCATCGCAATTGCAAACTCTGTTCATTGGAGTTTACTGTTCATTCGCAAATGCGAAGTTTTTGTCCACAAATGCGAACTTGGACAGAAGATTTAAGGATCGAAACTTGGTCATTTTTCCATTTTTGTTTTGGATTTTGGAGCTCGATTTTTGGGCGATTTTGTGGAGTTCTTTGCGACTTTAACTTGGGTAAGTGTTATATATCCTAAATTGATTATATTTCATGATTTCATGGTTATATTCATCAACTATTAGTGAATCAATTGGAAGAAAATGAGATTTTTTGGCAAAATCTTTCAAAAACGAAAAATGAAGATTTGGAGGTCGATTCGTTATCAGAATTTGATAAAATTATTATGGTTAAACTCGTATCTGAATGGGTTGTCGGATTTTGTGAGTTTTATCGGGTTTCGGACATGTGGGCCTGGGAGTTGACTTTATTGACTTTTCGAGCGGAGTTTGGAATTGTTATAAATTGATTTATTATAAGTATTAGAGTATATTTTTATTGGTTTGCACATTTCTTTAACTAGTTTTGTATCATTTGGCCTTAAATTGAAGAGTTAGAGAGGCATTGGAGCCGTTTTGGAACTTAGGAGCAAGGTAAGTCTCCTATCTAACCTTGTGAGGGGGGAAGCTACCCCCTAGGTGATAGTTATTGCTATGTGAAACTAGTTGTGGGTTCTATGTACGCACGAGGTGACGAGAGTCTGTACGTAAGCATGTTTATGTCCGGGTAGACTTAGGACTTTATCATTGTAATAATTGAATTATTTGAACTCGCTTTGCTGGCTTAATTAAATTAAAGTTTTAATTGAAATTGATTTAGAAATAAATATATGTATACTACTTAGCGCTTTGAGTTGTGGGCGAGTTATTTGAGAAACGGTAAAGATTATATTCACTTTGTGCTCATGTACTGTATTGTAAGTGTGTGTCTCGTAATTCGGTAATGTCCTTCCTTTGTTGTGGAGCGGGCCGAACGCTTCGGTAGTATAATAGATGCATCTATGATTCGTGTCGCTCGACCCTCGGTAGTGTACATATTATTCTGGATCGGGCCGAATGACCTCGACAAAATCGTGCGTTATATCGCTAGTAGTCCGAATATTCACGAGATAAACCTTCCACGGATGCCCGACATTTTATATATCCACGAGATAAACCTTCCACCGATGCCTAGTATTTTATGGTATTCCTTATTTATTTGATATTGACACTTGGCATTTTCTGAGTTATTAAGGTAGAATACAAGATTGATGAATTTATACTTTAAAGAAATAATTGGAAGATTTCGACATTTACAGATTTCCCCCACTATTGTTATGCACTACATAACTGTTATGAATTATTATATTATTTTATTAGACCTCTAGTAAGTGTCGATGTTGACCCCTCGTCACTTCTTCTTCGGGGTTAGGCTAGATACTTACTGGGTACGCGTTGATTTACGTACTCATGTTGCACTTCTGCACTAAATGTGCAGGATCTGACAGGTTCATTTAGTGATCATCTTGGCGCGTAGACGCATCTGTTGAGGAGACTTTATGTGAGCTGCAATTAGGCTATGCATCGCAGTCCACTGAGTCTTCATCGTGCTATTTATTTTATCCTGTCTTACTTACATTCTAGACAGATGTATTATTATTATTGTACTCTTTAGATAAATATTCATGCACTTGTGATGCCGGATTTTGGGGTTATACTAGTGGTGCTTAGGATTTCATACATTATTATCGCCTTTCAATTCTCTTTATAAATTACAAATGTTGTACATTCCCGTGACTTGGAAGTTTAAATCCCCTTTCCTTATTAAAATTTGTGATTTCAAAAGTACTAGAATGAGCAATTCAATTGGTAAACCACCGTTGGCTTGTCTGGCGGCAATGTTAGGCGCCATCACGATCTATAGTGATTTTTGGGTCATGACAGAGGTATTCCTCCGGAATAATATAAATGTCTAATAACAGCTAAAGCTTTAAAAAGAACATCAAATACGGGAAAGAATTAAGGCTTGCCAACTGAGTCTACTGAATCTGTCCCGAGCTATAGCCAAGTGCTTCATCACCTACGAGGCACTTTTCGTCATTATGTAACAACGAATTTAATGATACGATACGATATAATTTATATAACAATCAAAACAAACGTAGTATTTAAAATAACAAAGATACAATACAATAGCTAACAACCATCCAAACAATCTGTAATGGGTACCTAGAAATTCTCGTTGATAAGTATCCCCTTAGCGGAAGACAAGACTAGCATAAGCTATATAAATATAATGAAATGCAGCAATTGGAGAAGGCAATTCACATAGGAGTAATAAATACTGAATAATCTGTAAGTTGAAACTGATTTTGAAAACTGAATTAAAATTTAATACTCCCTTTGTCCCAACTTATATGACACTTTTCGCTTTGGAAGATTCAAACCTGTTAATGTTAACCATGATTTTGGACAAAGAATTTTTTGATTTTTCGAAATAAAATTTACATATTTGAAAACTACGTAAAATTAAGTACTATAATAACATGTTTGGTCAAGCTTCTCCCTACCAAAAGTGCTTTTTTTTTTCTCAACTTGAGGTGTTTGGCCAAGTTTTTTTGGGGGGGAAACTGTTTTTGAGAAGAAGTAGAAGCAGTTTTAGAGAAGTAGAGAAAAAGTAGCTAGCTTCTTCCCAGAAGCAGAAGCAGAAGCAGTTTTGACTTTTCTTCTTACCAAAAATAACCGTAGCAAAAGATGGTATATATCAAAATGACTTTACTTATTTTAAACCTAATACTTAGAATTAGAGATTATATTATTGAACTCTCCTAATGTACAAATATTTCTTTTTATTTTTAGGATAGCTTTCTAATATATGGTGACTTTTGAGATGAATATTTTTATATTTGTTAAATAATTTTTTGATATATTTAAATCATCTTGAAAGAATTGAAGCACTTTTAAATTTTATTTTCATGTTTTACTTAAATAAAATGAAAAACTTAATTGTTATCTTTAATAAATAAATATTTGAGATTATTTATTTATTCATATGATATTAACTATTAAGTAAATCTCTTCATATCCTTATTCGTAATTTGATACTTACGAATTAAGTAAAGCACTTTTTGAAAAGTTTGATCAAACACAAATTATTGTTAAAAAGTGATTTTCAGATTGATTAGCCAAACACAAACTGTTATCTCCAAGTACTTTCTCGAAAAGCACTTCTCAAAAAAGCAGATTTTTCCGCCTTAGCCAAACAAGCTATAAGTCACAATAATTAATAATTTAAAATATTTAAAAGGCATGTAAAAAAATTACGATCAACGTATAATCCGTTGACTCTCGGAATCCGAACACCTTCACATAAATTGGTACAGAGGGAGTAACTGAAAGTTGAAGTTAAAAACTGAATATGTATCTGAGAACTGAAGCTAACTGAAAGATGAGCCATTTTTAAAGAACAAACTTTTCCTTTGATCAAAATCTAAATATTGAATTCAGATGATCTATTTACCAGTTTTTCTGTAAGGATTTAACGTTAAAATTTAGAGCAAGATGAGATTCTTTCAAATTTACTCCTTGCATAATCCTACAGGTATTAATTGCAAGACCTGTGTTTTGGATAGATGAATCACCCATAAGACAGAAAGAGGAACACAGTTTCGAGTTAATAGGGAAACATCGCTGAGTGCACTACAGAATTTTTTTGAACCTAGCTAGAGTTCACGATTTACAAAGAATCTTAACACACAATCTGCACTAAGCAAGTTTTACCCAATCGCCTTCACCTAGATTAGAGGTGTGGATGGTTGCCTCTGTATTTTACCTTTTAGTTTATGCTATACCATTTTTTTGGTTAATATTGAATATAACCAGCGTATAAAGTTTTCTGAACTATCAATATTATCTCGGTTACTTTTCCAATATCGGTTCTATCCGGTTTAAAATTCTTGGAACGTTATACTTGTAAGAACCCACATAAAGTCGGAATCATAATAGAGTGCTTCACTTATTATAGCATAGAGCAAAAATAATACAACTACAAAAGTATTGGACTCATTTAATTTTCTTTTGATTTCGTATGAAGTGAATGATAGCAACATAAATACAGCAGCAGAAAACCATCTCTTGCTAGTTTAGTTAACAAGGATTCGCCTCCCATCGCCTCATTTCTCTTTTGTAAAACCTATATTTTACCTATCCCATAAGTATAGCACCAAAAGCAAACAAATAATAGGAAAAGCAATCTAGGCTCTGATGAGCACAACCCATGAGAGGGAAGAGAGAGAATCATATATAAGACTGACTACTCATATTTACAGAAGAAAACACACTATAGATCAAACGTCAAGGAAATATGGTCAAGATGAAAAAACATGTGATTGGTGATGGAAGGTGGCAACGAAAATTCAGTCATAGTAGAGATCAAAAGACAGAAAACGACTGCGAGAAATTTTATTAACTTCTACTGTTCTACTATTAGTTTAAGCCATAGCTTAAGTTATAGGTTTAGGTTTTTACTTGTGGCCTCTTTTTTCTTCCTCCGGTTGGGGTTATGGTTGAATCTGATCAGCTTATATAAAAAATCATCAGTTTTCTAGACTGGCTTCCTCCCAGATTCGTCGACATTATATTCATCATCGTCATCCTCTTCCTCTTCTTCCTCACTTTCATATATGTTGCTCCCGAACTTGCTTAGCTCAGTCTTAGCATCATCTTCGCCCAAAAAGTCCAACCCAAATTTGATGTCACGATGCTTAACCAAAAGCCATCGAAGTAGGCGGTCTTCTTTGTTCAGGTAATGCAGCTCTTTGTTAAAACTGGGTGGTGTCATCAGTGTCATTTGCATCAGTTTACCCTAAAAACGTGCAACATTTTTAAATGTAGTAATAATAATCATAATACTGAGAACAGAAGCTTGACCTAAAACTATTGATTCCTTTGTGAAGATACAGAACAGAAAGGCCAATCCCAGATCCCGAAGTGCATTACGGAAAGAAATTACAGAAGCATGGTCGTCGTCACAGACCTAAAATGTATTTATCATATCATGTACCTGAATGTGGAAAGCAGCAGAAACATGAGGATGGGGCTAAACAGCTCTATCTCTGCTGCTAGATGGACCAACTGGTAAAAACGCCAGACATAATGAATGAACAAAAATTAGAACTTTTGCCAGAATAATTTCATATTTGGGGACCTCTATAGTTAAAAGTTGTTTTTTTCTTTTTGATAACTGTGGTGTACGGGCCATGTTTCGTACAACTCGATTATTCAACCAGCTATCTGGTATCTACCACCAACACATGTACCTGGTAACTTTGCCAATCAAAGTTTGGCTGATGAGAAGAAATCACCTACCGTTTTTTGTCACTGTTGCTTCTATGGTTAAATGTTTGTGCACTGCATTTCACCTTTCATGATTTTCTGATAAATCATTTACTAATCGGGAAAGAAGGCAAATGTGAATAATAGAGACAGACCTGATAGAATCTTCCATCTAGTTTCTTAATGCCATAACCCAGATTAACAGTACCAAATGACTTTAAATCTGTAAGCACACCATTTTTTCTATAAACATGCCTCCCAACCTTTGCAACAAGGTCCATCAGAGCCGCCTCCTTTACATGTGGTTTCAGTAAAAGCATACAATCATAAAGTGGCATAGTCTCCTCGCGGTTCAACCAACTTCCTGAATCACAAAATGAATTGCATTAAAGCTTGGAGACTCCAAAACTAAGACAAGATGTGCATCTGTAACAAGATGATTAAAGCAAACTCAACCAAGAGATCCATTGAAGTAAAACAGAGTACGGAACTAACATGTTATCAAGTTTCTTAGTAGCACAAGTGAAGAAGAAAATGTATGAACCATGAAATCCAGATTCTTAAATATTTGGAGCATATGGAAAAGGATTTTGCTAATAAATGTGAATGCCAGTGTTGTCAAACAAAGGCGCACTTACGCCCGCAAGCGAGGCACAAAACAAGTGAGTGTTCTGCCTCGCTTAGTGGGTGCTTCAATGTCGTCATCAAGGCTCTAAGGCATACTTTTCCTTGCCAATGAGCATAGTCCTAAAGAGGCAACACTAAAAAATTGATATTTCATCTTATCGTACTTTTTTCAATTTCTTTGTCCATATATTTGTTATACAAGCTGATAATTCTTAGTCTTGGACTAATAATAAAAAGGGCAGCCCGGTGCACTAAGCTCCCGCTATGTGCGGGGTCCGGGGAAGGGCCGGACCACAAGGGTCTATCATACGCAGCCTTACCCTGCATTTTTACAAGAGGCTGTTTCCACGGCTCGAACCCGTGACCTCCTGGTCACATGGCAACAACTTTACCAACTACGCTAAGGCTCCCCTTAAGTCTTGGACTACAAATACATAATTTTATTTTTACTACATTTGTGTCTGTCTTGATTAAAGCCCACACTTTATTCGCGCTTTGTGCTTAAAGCCCCAATGGATCTTAGAGCCTTTTTCGCGCTTTCTGCCTTTGATAGCATTGGTAAATGCACAAGATAGAGGATCATTCTTTTTTCTGATAAGCAACACAAAGGGAATTCTTAGTGTGACCATTTGAATAATCCATGAGACACACACACCTGAGACAAGAAGAGTAAAACAGCTACATAAGAGGGAAAGACGAACAACACATGAAGAAGCAGAATACTAACTTCCAGTCAGGACCTATGAACCATTCTCTGGCCTCTTTATTTAGTTAGTGAAACATTTAACTCTAGCCCCGCAGGAAACAGCAAAGTAACACAATAACCTCTGGAGACCACCGGGGAGGGATATACATATATACATACACACACTGAACAGAGTAAAATCCCTCCCCTCTCCCCCCTCCGCCCACCCCAAAAAGAGAAGGAAAACTGGACTAAGTTTGCATGTCAATGTCAAGTTCAAAAGGTGAGAGAATATAAGCATTTTCCTGCCTTGACGCTTTCTGAAGTCTGAATTTCTGTATTTGCAATCTTTCAACTGATGTTAATGTTCAACAAAGGTCATAAGATCTCTCGTTCACCATATTTCGGTCTCCTAGCTATTAAACTATGCCCAAACTACAAAACTTCCCTCCCAAAAATGTACAAAGTTTTGTGGTTTACATGAATTACAAGGATGAGTTGATGACACAAATATAGAGGAAAGCTCAAACACCATATCTTTCTTTTACAGCCTTTGTTTTCGTTTAATTAACTTTTCTCCTTTTTCCCCCCTTCTTCAAAGAATTATCTTCAATAGAAAAGGAAACCATCTTCATCTACGCCAGCACAATATGAATCTCCTCTGTAGAACAATTTTTTCAATGTACAGAATTTTTGCATAGAGATGTACAAGCGAACAAGTCAAACTATTGTTGCCGTCTCTCTAAAAAGGAGCAAATACATCAAAAAAAAGAAAGCTAATAGATTCAACATCTACAGACGAAGGGAGGGGTAAAAAGCACGCCAGCGAATAGCAGAAACATACCGTTCGATTGCCGGAAATGTGAGGATTTCGCTGTAGAGATGGGGAGGCCCGAGTAAGAATTGAGGGTTTTGCGGCTGAACGTGGTTAGGATTTTAGAAGAATAATTTGTAGAAAGAATGTGGGCTGGAACAAGGACCCAAATTAGGTGAATATCAACAGAATAAGTCAACCAATTTCTAATTCTAAATGAGTAATTTTAACTTTAAAAATTGTGATTTTGGTCTTTGAGTTAGTTGTGTTATTCTTGGTTTGTTGAGTTTAATGACTAAGCGGGAGTTAACCTTTTAAATTAAATCGGCCCAACGAGGCGTGAGTCATGAGATATGGAGCTTAAGCCCTATAAATCTTTGAATCTTTTAGTTTATAAATTAATAAAATAGCATTGCACTAATATTACTATAACATCAAAATTAACTATAACGTCTTATCTTTTGAACAAGTAAAAAAAATACAATTTCTTAAATAATGTTATCACTACACAGTTTATCTCTCTAAAAGTTAATAATCAATAAACTTCATCAGTACTGTAATTTAGAATATCACTTCTTATCTCTAAAAGTCTAATAATTTTGCGTGACATAGAACTAAGATATGAAGATATATAGCATATGAAGATATAATCTTGACTATCTATTTTAAGAAGAAATATTCAAATGATATCCATCATCGCAATGTTCTCGATTAGTAAATATGTAGTACCATGATTCATTATTTTGAGTTGCTCTCAATTTTCATATTTCTATAGATGAATATAAATTTAATTATTCATTTGTTAAAGAAATTTGAGTGTCAATAGTGTTAATTAGGAATTTAACATCATGATTTGTATTAGGAACTATTAGACGAGCCCCGAGTGCTAAATGTTTTGCATGTTGGGGCGCACAGTCAAACATTTGAGACGTAAGCCTCACAAAACTAAGCCGGCTCAAGGAGTTTTGATAGTGCCTCGCTTCGGAGCGACCACCTAGGCAAGTCCCACAAAAGCTTTTCTACACTAAAGGGTACTCCGTACTATATCTATTTTATTGAAGTCAGACCCAAAGTAGTACAAGTTCACCACTACAACAACAACAACAAGACTCGGTAAAATCTCACAAAATGGAGTCTGGGAAGGATAGTGTGTACGTAGACCTTATCCCTGCTCTAATAGGGCAGAAATGCCGTTTCCGATAGACCCTCGGTCCAAAATAGTACAAGTTCACCACTATGGCATACTATTGTTTCCTCGTGACGAATTTCGAAAAAAGAAAAGGCAACATATGAACAGCTTGAAGGAAAGCATGTCGAATAATTGAGAAAGGCTTTTTTGTGTCTCAATATTATCATGCTAAGAAAATCAGTCCTTTATTTTTGATGTCAAGAAAAGAACTACGTACTAGTGTTTTCAACTTTATTAAAAAGAGTGATATATGCAAAATGGAAAATATGGTCAAAAGTTCGAAGTATACTTGTTGTTTCTTTCTACAAATGGCTTCTTGTCTTGGATGAATATTCATACTATGTTTTCTCTGCTAACTCCTTAAAAAGATTTTAAGAATTACTTGGCAAAGAAACTTTCCTGTCAGAAAACAACCCGGTCTTTTTCGTCCTTTACCTTCAAAAGAGATTTGGGATGGTTCTAATTTTTAGGTTTAAAGAACTGTTTTACTGCAAAATTCACCCAATTTTTCTTTATAAGCTTGTTATTGGATGTTATTTTGGGTGATTTAAAATTTAAATATTGTTAGAACCTGTGTTCGAAACCAGAAAAGCATAAGAAAAAGACACATTAGTTCAATAGACAAATCGTAAAATAATTTCGAGCCCACAAGTTGCTTGTGTGTCCTTAAGGAATTTAATCCCCTCATTGTTGCCCAAGGTTATGGATTACTTCCTCCCAGGATAGAACGGAAAAAACTATTCCGTAATACTGGCAATCAAAATTACAGAACTTCGGCGAACTCAACAACGGAGTAAATTACACTTGACACTTTATTTATTTGAAAAAATAATGCAACAATGTAGAAAAGAGGAGAGAAGTTTTCAGATTTTCCATGTGTAAAATTGAGGCCAAGCCTCTAAATTTATAGACAAAGGAAGGGTGATATGGAGAGGTGCAATTCAAAAGGTGCCTCTTCCATTTCTCATTCACACCCCTTTAAAGAAAAATATAATAATCCCCCACATGAATGGGGAATGGACATATGTGTAAAAACATGCATGAAAATACTGTGTGATTCGCAAGTAAGGATTAATCGCATCTGGATAAGTAGGTTTCCTTTTGAACTTTTCATAGTGAACTTATGTCGGATATACTCGATCAATCGGTAGATTTGATATCTTTGAACCGTCGAGCTTTGGTGTATACCTAGACAACCATAAGTCACACAATCAATCCTTAACCGTCTTTGGTTCCCACGGTTGTGTTCGTTTCAGCCATGAACACCACCTGGTTTCATGAGTGCTTAGAGAATGGGTCTTTACTTTCATTTCCCTTAAAGCGGCTTATATTTCACACTCACATAGGTGATTTCTAAACGTGTAATCTTATAGACACACTATCCGGTCATATCCTGTCAGACTTAGCAAATCATTAAAAAGCTTTAAGCTTTATTGACTCGTCAAAAAGCCTTAATGCTTTACCTTGATTTCTGAATATTGTCTTCATCACGAGAATGGGTTGAGTTATTTGACAATGTTACGTTGAACCGTCATTAATAACTTTGTTTGATCTCTTTGAATCTAGCTCTTGGGATCTCCAGTCTGCTAGGTAGAGTTACCACCATGATGACTTGTCCTAGGCCTTAGCCCCATTCCCTTCGATGATCTTTCAACTGCTTCTCTAGATAGGTCTTTTGTAAGTGGATCCGACACGTTATCTCTTGACTTTATGTAGTCAATCGTGATAACACCACTAGAAAGTAGTTGTCTAATGGTATTGTGTCTCTGTCAAATGTGACAAGATTTTCCTTTATACATAACGCTCCATGCCCTATTTGTTGCCGCTTGACTATCACAATGCATACATATAGGTGCCAAAGGTTTTTTCCAAGAAATTCCGGAGCCATTCAACTTCTTCAGCGGCCTTGTCTAAGGCTATAAACTCAGCCTCTACTGTAGAGCGGTCAATGCACATTTGTTTGGACGATTTCCAAGATATTGCTCCTCCACCTACTGTTTAGAATCGGTTAAACCGGTGATCTATTTGCATCACTATACCCCTCTATTATCGGGGGATACTTATTGTAGTGCAAAGCATAATTTGGAGTATATTTCAAATACTTCAAAACTCGTTTCATTGTTATGAAAGTTCAATGCAAACTTCCTTATGTTGTAGACTAATACGTCTTGACTTTCGATTGCATATTAGATTATTGACTACATTTAATGTAGTAATAGTATATTATAATAACAGCTGGAATGATTGGCAAGAGTTGTGGCCTCAACCTTTTAATATATAACACTTTTTCCAATCACTCCGTCATTTTCAAGTATTTGTATGTTATTTATTCATACACCTATATGATATGCAAATTATAGCACTTTCATTCATGAAACTAATCCAACTTGCAATGCTTCTCCGATTTTTTGAATTTGAACACAGTATCACCAACAAGCTTAAGGCATTTATCTACTATGTTCTGTGTTTGTCTTAACATTTGTGTGTTGGAGACTAAACGAGAAAGAGACATTGAAGTGTTGGAATTTGTTCAGCTATCACCATTGGTACGTGATCAAAAGACACAAAAGAACTGAAACTCTCTGCATCAAAGAAAATAAGGGCTAATTATATTGAAGTCTTTTGTCAATTCCTTGACACATTGATGTCAATCCCTTGTCACCATTCTATAGTGTATGTAACTGATGCCAAAGAATTATTGTCAGTTGGTTGCTTTGTGAAGCCGTTATACCATAATATTTTTTCTCGTTAATGGAGACGAAAGTGGCAAAATATTTTTGTTGGTTGTGTTGGCAGCGATTTTTAAATGGACTCTAATCTAACATTCCAAGTAACCATGAATGTGTGTCAGAATGTGAAAATCATAATCATGATTTAACATTTCACTGATAGCAAACCGAGAAAACGAGGATATGAAGAAAAAGGAATTGCAGAAGCAAAATAAAAGCACTATTCTTAACAGAGTGGGTTTTGATTATTGAACAATGAATTCATGAGTACGAACAATATTCAGATTGATCACTATGAGAAGAAAATACAGGGTCTTGACCGGAGGAAACTACGTCATGCGCATCCTTCGGCTCGTCTGAGTGGATTTCTTCCTTGACACAATAATTGCGAAGGCAGACTCAAATAGGAAGACGTATCCAACTTTGACAAAGAAAATTGGTATTGGGAAAAATTGAGTTTACATATTAAAGTAATTGGAAGATGACGTGTCATGACACGTAGACTGGTCAAAGAATTATAATTGGCAAAGAGGCACGAGTTGCAACAGATATGAGTAGAGGCACATGAAGAGACACGAGCAGTTATTCAGAAGACTCAACGCTCGTACTTATTTAATCCAAAAATCAAGGAGAATGAATCTGACAGTACAAGAGAGTATAGATACAGTATTTAATAAGCATTAAATACTAAAAACGTTAGGAAATCTGTATTGAATTCCAATGATTATGTAACGTAGCATTTAATGCATTTAATTGTCTATAATGACCTTATTATGACAAAGGCATAACGTATAACTTGGAGATAGCTATAAAAGGAAGAGAATGGATCATTTGTAAGGACACGAAATACTATCTGAATATATTGGTTTATTTTGTTTTCTTCTGATTATCTTATTGTTGGCAAAATCACTTTCCTTTATTCATTCTTTGATTATCAGTAACCCGAGTTCTTCTAAATTAAGGTTTTAACCGAAATTCCACTTTTGGTTAAACAAATTGGTTCTGTTACCGGGAATCTGATAATCTATTCTTTCTTTGCCTAACCATTTTTGTTGCATCAACTATGTCGAACATCAATGACAACACCCAAGGAAATCAAGGAAACCAACAACTCCAGGGGAATCCACAGGATGACCACATCCCGATCCCTTCTCCACAAAGCTCCCCTCGACGATCTCGAGAGGGCACTCCTAATGGATCTCATGCATATGGAAATGCTCAATTTGAAAATGTTGAAGCTATTGATGAAGCTTTACAAAAGCTAATCG